GTCAAATGGTGGCTGCAAGTACTGTAGGTGGTGCTAATCCAAAAGGGCCAACTTTGCATCAAATTGAAAAATTTGTCATTGATTTACTTCTGCATTTTCTCTAATTTATTAACGACTATTTAACTGAACTTTAAAGGGATAGTTCATCCAATAATGTAAATTATTTCATCATATTACCCACTGGCTTTCATTGAGCATTTCATTATTCATTATATTTAAAACAATCCTCTTTTGTGGTCTGCAGAAAGGGTTGTCACCTCATAATGGTTTGGAACAACACAAGGATGAATAATTTATGACAGTTTTTATATATTTTTTTGAGTTAACTATTCCTTTAGTGGTCAATTTTAGCTCAGATCCTTTTCATTCAGATAAGAAAGGTTTTGTTTAAGCTTTATTAACATTTTTGTTAATTGAAATAAAGCTGAAATAAAAAAACGATAAATATTAGATGAAAAATGTAAGCTTAAACATATTGGTAACTAACTAAAGCACTAACATTGCTAACTAATAAAATTGACAAAAACACATAATAAAATTACTAAAACTTATATTGAAAAGAAAACAGAATATATATATATATATATATATATATGTATATATATATATATATATTCTGTTTTCAACATTTCTTGTTACCTAATTTTTTTTAAGCCAATTATTTTTTATAACCTAACTGATATTTGTTGAATGTTAATTTAAATGTTTAGTTTTTCATTTACTATATTAGGAGTTTTAATGGAATTAACAGTTGCAAACAGATTATAAAAAACCTAAATCTGATTCTAAATATGTTTGGAGGAGCTGTGTTTCTTAAGTTGTTGCTTGGCAACAATACAGTAAGTCTGCCACTTAAATTATTTGGCAGAGTACATAGTTAATTCCTATTTTTAATATTAATTGCATCTATTTATTATATATTGATGTCTCATCACATTGCTGTTTATTGCAAGAAGAAAAGTTATGTTTTAATAAATTGTTGTTATTAGTAGTAACTGGGAATGATGACTGTACAATTAATTTGTCAGGAATTGAAAAACAAAGATTGAAATTAAAACAAATAGTAAAATGTAAGCAATATCACACATAAATACATACAGCTAATAGAAACAGCAAAAACACTTTCATAGAGTGTTAAACAGAAGTATCTAAATGTTTATTTTGATACAAAAATGAAGATATAAAATTGAATCAGACATCCCAGCATTACATGAGAGAGGGAATAGATTCCGAGAGAATGCGTTTATTGCCTCAGTTTGCTCTGTTGTAAGGCTGTTTGCCCAATACAGTATGACATAAAAACAGGCATATCATGCAACACCGCTGGCAAAAATAGCTTGTTATTTGAAAAGCTACACAATTTTGAAGACAGCGAAACTTCTGTCACGCTACTGAGAATGCAGTTTAGTTATTAGTGTCGCTACTTTTAGTTAGTTACGAAACACTGATCAGAAGCTAGCCATGCTCTCGCTGTCCCTTTCCATCTCTAATCTCTGTCATGTATTTGCCCTAATCTTTCTCTTTCTTGCTCTCCAGTGTTCACTCAGCCCGCCTTTTCAATTCGGTTGCATTATTGTTTAAGAAGAGTGTGTTTGTTGTGTGTGACTTTATGTGTGTGTGTGTGTGTGTGTGTGTGTGTGTGTGTGTGTGTGTTTGTTTGTGTGTGTGTTGTGCAGTATGTTTGGTCTCCAAGGTTTAATTAAAGAGCAGCCAGAGAATCCTGTCAATGGTCCCAAGACTCCCCTCAGAACCCTAGAGTCATCCTCTTCTATTTTACACTCCACAGAATACACACACACACACACACACACACACACAGATGGCCGATAAAGTGACGAATTATAAGAGGAGTGATATTGAGAACGATGGATTTTATTTTTCAGGTTTGGTTTTCAGGTTTCCCTGTTTTTACTGACAGGTACATTCCTGTTATACCTAAATTGAGGATATATAAGGATACACCAGACTTAATATAATATTATGTGTGTGTGTAAGTATGTATAGGATTTAATTTTATAATTTTTTTCCAATATATTTAGTCATATAGGCTAAATTATTGGGGCATGAACATGTACTGCATATCAGGAATAAGTCACCCTTTATTGTATACAAAGGCTAAATGCCTATATATATATATATATATATATATCTTATATGCAACATTTTATCTTTATTGAGCTTCATTTACATAAGGGTTGGAAATGGATGCAAACTAAGCACAGTACTGAGTCTTAAATTATTATGAATGAAAGCGGGAAGAATTACAGTGCATTAATAATAGGAATAAGCAGCTCAACTGTTTTATTCCTTTCCCATTTCTGTCTGACCTCCTTAAATACCACATTACATATAGACTACTGGGGGATTTATACCAGAGTTGCTATTGTATTTTTACAGCATTTATCCGTATTTAAAGCGCTAGTGCCTGTACAGGCCCCTGAGCAAAATACCTGCTATGTCTTCACACCTCTGGTTTTCTCTCTCTCCCTATTCCTTATTCTTTTTTATTCTCTCTCCAATCCATAGTTCTCAAATTCAAATAGCTTTATTGGCATAACAAAAAGACAGACACACACAAGGCGACAACAGCGCTGCACTAGAAATGCTAATGGCCACATTAAATGAGACTATTATAGGATGGTGATAAAGTAATATCACTGGAGGAGTCCATTCAGCATGATGATTGTTGCCACATTAACGATGATGGTGATGATGATGAGGAAGCATTGTTTTGCTTTTTAAATAGCTTGCCATCCACATTTACTGCACCAAGGAGGTCTATAATACCTGCAGACAGCTCTCTGTTAGCATTCCCATTTCTCCCAATGGCCGTTGCTTGGTTTGAAATCTGCCATCATTACCAGATTTTTTTTGAGCCAATCACCTCAGCTCTGGAGCCAAAGGAAATGACGTCAATGTTGAATCCATCTGTAGAGCAGCCATATTTAGTGTTATGATTTCTCATTCAATTTTCAATCTGTTTCTACTCCTACCTTTTGTAATGTCTCTAATCTGCTCCTATTTGTGTCCTTCGGTGCTGTTATATATAACATTCCTGTCATCTCAGGAGTTGAGATTTAATGCCTCTTTTTCCATTAGTTTTAAAGTTCACTGCTTATGCTTGACCTTTTGCCCTCCATCTTGTCCGGACTTCAAATCTAAACCCACATTAAATCCATTCGCATCACATAAATCTCTCTCTCCTCTGTTTTAGCTAACCGTTAAAATGCTTAAGCTAGGCGCTCTTGGCTAAATGCTAACACCATTTGAAATGAACATCAAAGTTTAAAGCATCAATCAGCTCTTTCAGGCGATTAGAGGCTTTAAAAAACAAAAGATGCGTTCACGGCGAAATGCATCGGTTCTTAATTAGACTTCATATCCGCACAGATGATTTCATTCAGGATGTGAGAGCTAAAACATCTATTTTTAGTTTGTTAGTCACAACTGACTGATAGAGGCTCTTTGTGTGGGTGTTTCGAGATGTTTTCCTTCACATCACTGTCTCCCTGTCTCTGTCTTATTGTGTTTATGATCCTCATAATGCCCTGAACGAGTCGTCTGAGCTGTCATTTGCCTGCAGTATTGCTTTTTTTCCAGGGCTTAGACGTAGAAGCCTACGGGAGGTAACTGCTGAGTCATTGAATTTTTAAGCTTCATATAAACTTTGAAAACCATTCATGTTTGATGGGAAATGTTATAGAATTGTTTTACTTGTTTCAGTGTTCTGTCTCAAATGCAATCTTGCTTTGTCATTAAAGATCTGGGCTAGAAACTAAAAGGTTGTAAGTTCAATCCGCCTGGAAATCCTTCAGTTATCACCAATACCAGCAAGATGCTTAAAAGGTACCTTCATTCCCCTAATAGTTCACCTAAAAATAAGTTACTCATCCACAAGAGTAGATGCAAACCTGTATGACTGCACAACAAAAAATGAGATATTTTAAAGAAAGTTGCAGCAGTTTTTGGACTTCATGTGTGGTCACAAATGAAACTCCATTGTCCATTGGTATTAGTGTACTGATACTGTATGGATCATTACTCACACAGAATTCACTTTCAAACCAAGCAGCTTTCTGTTGGTCAACATGGTGAAATCCATGTGGAGAACTTTTTTGCTCTCACGCGAAGATCCCGATCACACAAATTCCTGTTGAAATGAATGCCAAGTTCTGTCATGAAACTCTAGATGGCACAGGCTGATGGGTCGTTAATGCAAACTGATGATATTAACAGCATTAATCTACTTGGCACAAGCTGATTGGTTCATGTTGCATATGCAGCCAATACGCTTGCTGCTTTACATTTACAGTAAATGGCTGGTTAGCATCCACTAGAGAAGTTCGCAGCGCACTTTGAGAGTTCCTCTGAAACCCTCCACCTTCCCCAGCTCCACCTTTATAGATCTGCTACAGGTTATTCTATATGCTGCTTGTACAGCAGTAGAATGTTCTAAATACTCAATGCACCATATCTGCGTATGTATTGGCAGTAGCAAGTTCATATACTTGCTTGCAGCAGCAGCAGCAGCAATAATCTACAACTACAGCAATAACCAACAGCAGCAGCAGCATAGCAGATCTTTTCCGCCAAGACCAAATACATTAACATTTTCATATCCATTATCATGCAATCTTCCAAGAGTTGTCATGATAGAACTGTATTTCGTGAAATGTTGTTGATCAATGGTAAATGTGACCACACCTTTGCAATGAAGATCAGTGGGGTCCAAAACAACCATTGACTTTTGTTGTATAGACACAAAAACACTGAGACATTCTTCGGATTATCTTCTTTTGTGTCGCAGAGGTTAGACAGGTTCGCAATGACATCAGGGTTTTTAAATGATGACAGAATTTTCATGTAAACTATCCCTTTAATCCAGTTTGCAGCATTCAACATTGTACAAATCCATGTGGCTGATATGTGCATGCAAAGGGTAACAACTTGCACATTAACCTTTGATCACTAACCCTTATCCTTTTTGTTGTTCTTGGCAGGATCAGCAATCATCTGCGTGACCTCTTTAACTGACCCCATGAGGACGGCTGAGGGAGATGGAACGTAACAGACTTTTCTTCTTTACTCTCTACTGCATTTCCACGATAACCCACCAGGGCTGAGCACAACCACAGCCCCTCGTCCACCCCAACCCTTCCACAGTCGCTCCATTCCTGTCCTCCCTCTTACTCCCTGAAAGACCAAAACAAACCAGCAGGACCACTTTTTCTTGTTCTGTTATAATAGTTTAACTTTCCTTTGCCCTTCACCCGTGACAAAGCAAAGCGGAAGTCAATAAACCGGCGAAGCGAAGAAGGAAAAAACAAGACAGTCATGTATCTGCCCCATGGCTGCAAACGTGATTTGGGCCATGCCCGCAACTCAGAGGCCACCCACGCAATTACTCTCCTCTGGTTGGCTCTGTGGATCACCTTGGCATTGTGTCAGCGCATTGATCCCGGCTCCAAATATCCCACCGTCACCACAAACTATGGCAAGTTGCGCGGGATTAAAAAAGAGCTTAACAACGAGATTCTGGGTCCCGTAGAACAGTACCTTGGCGTCCCCTATGCCACAGCGCCAATCGGAGACCGTCGTTTTCAGCCGCCGGAAGCTCCTGGGTCTTGGCAGGAAGTGCGGAACGCTACACAGTTCGCCCCTGTTTGCCCGCAGAACGTGCATGGTGTTTTACCTGAGATCATGCTGCCTGTGTGGTTTACCGACAACTTGGACATGGCCGCCACCTACATTCAGAATCAGAGCGAAGACTGTCTCTACCTCAACGTCTATGTGCCCACAGAGGATGGTGAGTGTCTGACACAACACAGCAAAGCATTATGGTTATATCTAATAGGGGGAGTAGAGTGCAACAGTGCCCATCCACATTTTCAGCAGCCTTGGTTCAGGAAGTATTTTCCCATAGGGATTTTAAAAAAGTCAAGGGGTTATAAGCCATGAACAAAACCAACCAGCTACGAGGTAAATCACAACATTGCAAACTTATTTTTGAAGCAAAAAATATTTGAAAATCAGACAAAAAGATAAAACTTTAATAAGGGAAGGAACTACAGTCCCAAAAGGCATTGCAAATGAAATAATCTAAAAAAAAAAAAAAAAAAAGATGAGTAAGTATAGAACTATTGATATTGATTATGGATATAGAAACGATATATTTTATGTTTATTGCAAAATATGCACAGTAGGTCTGTCTTCAAAGGTTTATAAGTTAAAGAACAATTCCCCTATGGAGAAAATGAATGGGGTTTTTAATTCTGGAACCCAACTGCTGCACTCTATTGAGTAATAGAACCTATAGACATGCATTTTGCATGTGCTGCATAGTAGATGCTACAATATTTAGGGATAGTTTGCCCAAAATTAAAAATTGTTGTCATTTACTCATTACTTTTTACTGTTGTTCCAAATCTGTATGACTTGCTTTCTTCTTTGGAACACAAAAGAATATATTTCAAACAATGTCTTGTTTTGTCCATATTATGAAAGTCAGTGGGGTCCAGAATTGTTTTGGACCTCACTGACTTTCCCTGTATGGACAGAAACAGTTGAAACATTATTCAAAATATGTGACCCGTGCTGGCAAAATGAGTCGGACTGAGCAAATTTTCAAAAATGAGTTATTTTTATTTTCACATTCTCCATTAAAATACCTTCAAAATGATATATGACTTGTTGGAATCGGACGAAAAAAATGACTGAGCTACAGATTTAGAGAAATATCGAGTTAAAGATTCCAAAGCAAAATCACCTAGCAACGCTGCATATTTTCCTCCATTAGCCTATACTATACTCTTAATCACAATATAGCTATTTTTATTTTATCTTTGTTATTAAAAATTAGAACAGATGCAAGTAAACAGTAGTTTAATCAATTAATCATAATTAATCAATTAATCATCAATTAATTAATTATTTAATCAGCGAATGATTCCTTCTTTTCTTTTAATGTATGATTAACATTGAGACAGATCTATATTAAGACCTACTGCAATGCATGTATCTAATATAATGTTACACATCAGATTTATCCCCAACGATTAACTAAATGTTTATGTAAATGATTATGTGAATCTCGCCAAGACATTCATTATTTTGCAATAATTTACTTTATAAGGAGATCGCGTGCTTTCGGAGAGGCGCATTTTACGCACGCACTTTGCAAATGTCAGTCAGCGTGATCGTTTTTTTGTTTTCATCAACATGGGTTTAAAAATCATATTTTACTGGTTTGGACTCATGTCAGCGAGAATTCAATATGAATATTCACGAAGCTGGAATGCTGAAAACTTATAGACTACTCCTCTCAGAAAATGTACAAATAAAGATCATTTTTAGATGTTTAATTACTATTTGGAGCATTGGGTTCACTAGAAGAGGGCTTAATGAACTAATTTTTGTAAAAACCTCAAATTTGACCAAAACTGACATTTTTCACTTCTTTTGCCTGTAGCTCAAAATTAGACCGTGCGTATTCCGACTCATTTTGCCAGCACGGGTCACATATCTTTTTTTTGTGTGTGTTCTGTGGAAGATTTAGAATGACATGAGGATGAGTAAATCATGACAGAATGTTCATTTATGACTGGACTATCTCTTTAACACTACAAAGTACCATACAGTGAAAATGAAATCATTTTCTGCCCTTGAACTTTGGTGCAGCTTTACCAGACCTTGACTAAGGACATGTCCTTGCCTTTTCCCAGTTATGATCAGTCCCCTGCACTCTGGATCAGGACTTGTCAGGAATAGTTTACCCTATGATTCACTTAAAGAGTGAGGCCAGCTGGAAAGACTAAAGCGTTCTGGGAAATTACTTATGCCCCAGTATAAGACGTACATTTACGACAAATTGGGGTTAATTGATGGAGAGTTAACAAACCAAAGAAGTGACTAACTTTTCAGACTGAAGTAAAACCCCTCAACATTTGTCTTTTTTCTTCTCCTCTTCCAGTTCTTTTTTGTCTTTTTTTCTTTTGAGAGAGAGCAAAGTGGACAGATACTCTCAGAGGATGGAAAGAGCTGATTTGCGAGGAGGTGTTTTTCTCTCGCAATTAAGGTTCCAGCCGCCAAGTCGCCTAGAGAAACAAATTATTGACATCAGCAGTAATTTGCAATCTCAGCGCCCTTTTTGCTCCTTTCCTCTCAGTTTTTACCTCTTTTTGGCAGCCAGTGGAGGTGTTTTGTGTTTACAATGGTAATTGTCTTATTTAAGCAATTCTTTCTATTATGAAAGAGTGCTTTGTAATTTGCAACCCGTGTTAATGAGGAAAAAGTCATCAAAATTATTACCTCCGTATGTGCACTATATACTGTACATGCCAACGCATAGTATATAATGCCTCAGTCATAGCACATCAGCAGCATATTCCAGCACATTGCAGTCAGACTGAACATCTGCATAGGCGTGTGAATGTTTGTTCACAGCAAAGATGCCAGTGTTGTTTTCTTGTTTTTTGACACCATCAGCAATGTGTCTCTTTTCCTTCCTTCTCTTTCTACTCTCTCTCGTTCTGTCTTCCAACACTCATTTTCATCCCACATTATCTCTTTCTCTGCGCCATGTGTCTTTCACAAAGCCCTCTGCAAATCTGCCGATTCCTAGATTCCCAAATGTGCCAGTTTCCATTTTCCCAAATCCCCAAATTCCCTTTAATCCACTCAGTCTCTCCCAAGCTGGCTTGCAATCCTGCGCATCAGAGTCGCTATTTAGAACAAATACGTTATCCAGTGCATTGTGTTTCCACACCAAATGGTGGATTAATTCCTTCATTTAGAGCATGATTAAGCTGTACATGACTATATAAGTTCAGATCTAATAAAGGAGCTCTTTTGTTTAGTCTTACATATGTAGAGCAAGTCAAGTGCCTTAGAACTGCAGTAAAGATATACAGATTTATTCTTTTACAGAAGTGTATGCATGCTGTACTGCAGTTGATCCATGTGAGAGTTAGAAGAGGGGGTGGAAAGGAGATCAAAGCTACTACATCAGTTACTATATGTGGGGACCATCTTGGCCCCAAACTGCCCCAGGCAACTTATACAGCACTATATAGTCTCATTATTTGTCTCCCTTTGTTCTTGTTCCTCTGACTATATATAGTGACATCTGTTATAGCCTCTTTTAGAGTAAACTAAAGCAGAATTCTGAATTCTCAGATGCCACTAGATTTAAATATTTTATGTTTTTACAGGATGGAATTGATTTCCATAATTCCATCAAAATATTTTAATGTTTTGACAGTAGTTTTGATCTGAAATATTATGAATTATTTGTATAACTTTTCTTATTTAATATATTTTAAAATGTAATTTATACAATTACAATATATAATTTATTTTCCATATAATGTACATTATTGTTGCTCCTCTATGCCCCACCTTTCTGAAACGCGTCGATTTTTACAAAGCTCATCGTTCTGAAAAGCGAGGTGTGCTCTGATTGGCCAGCTATCCAGAGCGTTGTGATTGGCCGAATACCTCAAGCATGTGACGGAAATGTTACGCCCCTACCATACTGTGATGCCAACTCCCGGCACGACGAGACAAAACCTAGGTTAAATGCAGAGCACTAATTCCAAGTATGGGTCACCATACTTGGCCACATGTCACGTCACATCAGAAAACAGTCCTCGTCCTCCGTAAAATGCACTGCACACGTCTGAATATTTGGGTTGAACTGTTCTGGAACAGTGTTGTAAATACAACTTAACCACTGATTTCTAGTTGTGTCCTCTTTTGGAAGACCAAACAAAGTAGTTTCGCTTTCACAACGAAACACACAGCGTCTCCACAACATGGCGGCGGCAACAGTGAGAATAAAAGGTGCTATTTGGGCGGCGTTATGCAAATCTCCCCACATCGTGATGTAGACATGTGGGGGCGTGTTAGAACGAGCCGTTTTAGGTAGGCGTGGTTGACTCTTAACGTTTATAAAGAATATCTCTTTGGATTTGAGACTTTAGTCTTTGCAACTTTACAGATCTTCTTTATGCACCAAGAGCTTGTAACACTTCAAAGAAAAAGGAGAAATTGAAATAGCATCATATGGCCCCTTTATTTTAATGTCAAACATCACCTAACCCCAAAATTAAATTTTTGCCGTTATCTGTAGCAGTCATTAACGACATGGACATTTTCCTTTTTTTTTCGACAAACAAATGTGGAGCCTATTATTGTTATTATTAAAAGCCTAGTTCTTGTTTTGGATGCCCAAATTTCTTTTCTCTTTTTCTCTCGTTCTCGTCCGGTGGTTATGGCAGGGCTGAGTAAGCCTGGGGAGAAAGTAGCAGGACCTGTGGGAGTTGTTTGAAGGCTGGAGGCGGATGGTCAATCAGAGGCATGTGTGAGCAGGACTGATGGGTTGGTTTTAGCATGACTGTGCACTCTGCAGCCCACCTGATACTGTCACCAGCCTGTCTACTCACTCTTCTCTGTCAGATCGATTTGACCAAGAGAGAACACAAAGCCTACAGGATTTTCGCATTTTTTTTAAGCAAAAAATAGATAAATTGATCAGTAAATCAACAAGCAAGTAAAATCTGAATAGATTGGCTTTACACAAAGCAGACATAACATGATTCTGCCTTAAAGAGCTACAATAACCATATATTGAAGTATCCCAAAGGCCAAGGAGGTAGAAATGAGAAATAGAAGAAAGAAATGAGGGAACGCTTGAACAAAAGATGAAATTCGAATAGCACTCTTGTTTTCTATGGGAGGGAAATCAAAACTGCTTCGGACAGCACCTGAGCATTGGTGTGGAGGGGGCGTTTTTTTAATTAGCTCCTG